CTTAATGCTTGTATGATTCTTATGTGAATTTATATACTACGTATGTAGTCCCCAGAAACGCGCCCCGAAATGATTTTTCGGTTTTGAAACGCTAACTCTATTAAACTACCGCAGTAATATCACGAGTTAAATTGACTGGTAATTTAACAAATTTTTTATTCTTATTCGCATCTTCGAAACGATCTTAATAATAATGAATAACATATTAAAATCTGTAAATAATTAATTCTTATTGCGAAAAATATTATCTCGGCCGGTAGTCGAACTCGGATCTCTTGCATTTCGTGCATCCTAAGCCTTTAGACTACCAAGAACTTAGTAATATTCTTCGCAATTATTGGCATATATGCCAATAATTCATATATGAAGGAACAACGTCTCTTTAAGCGACGTAAATAAATAATATAATATATTATAGGACCGTATATGTGATAACAGACTATAGAAATCAAAGCTTTAAATGGTCTAGCTGGACCATTTATATACGTATTTATATACGTAATATATAAATTCAGACAAGAATCATATACAAGCATTTAAGATCCAGTTAGACCGTTTAAGGTTCTGATTTCTATAGATTTTTTCTTATTCGGTACAAATTCATTTGGGGCATTCTTGTTGCGTGAATGACGCTTGAAAAACAATGATATAACCGAGAAAAAAATATGTGATATAAATATTAATGTGAACGAAGGAGTTCGATAAAAACGATGCGCTAAATGATGGCTTTCAGCTGCTCCAATTAAAATACTCGAACACTGCAATTTATTCATACACTTGTTAGTAGATGATTGTAGTCGCGGACATACATCTTTTGCATCTCTTTCGTGCTATTAATACCTTTCGTGCAATAACACTTTGTATGTTCGTAATTTGTGTTATAATAATAAACGTTATCAATATTACGTTATCAGCAAAACTTTCACAGAAAGAATAGTTTCGCTGAAGTATAAAAATTTAGCTAGATAGAGATCTAAAAATCTTCTATATTTTCTCTTTCTATATCTAAGTAAATTTTTAGATATTTCAGTAAAACTGTTTTTTCCATATTATTATACCATAAGAATTCGTGCAGTAACTTCGACATATCCAATTTATCTTTCTCCGGTGAATTAAATAATTTCGCCTTGACACCAAAATGATCCATTTGCTTCAACTTCAACAAACTACAGATTCTCAGATTGCATAATCGATGTATCTGTATCTTACGTCTCGATAACTTGAATGCCGATCCTTTCGCGGTTGTGATAATTCAATTATCCGCTGCGTAGCTGCGGTTTGCAGTAAATTTTTCACATGATAATGTTTTATAATTTCTTATTGGAGTTAATGAACTTTAATTATAACAATCATTCGTATTTTGCACGAAACATATTTATTTTTCAACCTGATTTTTTTTAATTTTATTGTAATTTTATTTAATTTAAATTGTTCTTTTTTTGCAATTGCAGAATCTTTAACAAATTATTTTTGCAAGGATTTATTAAATTCAAGAAGAAATTATAATACTGATAGTCTAAATATTTTAAATCACTAACCTATTTAAGTGCGCTCGGTGAGTTAATGGGTTTCGGTCATGAATTACTTTTGGACACGCAAGCTGGATTATACGAGACATATGTCGATAGTGCTTTACTTTTCAAAAGCTTTTCAAAAACCTCAGCCTTTATTACATGATACCGAGGTTGAGCCAGTCGTTTTGTCCGCTCTGTTATCTCGTACAGCACGCGGATATTTTTACCCAAATAAATTTCACAATTTTATAATATATATCTAATAATTATTGGTCAATTAAACTTTTTGTATATTTAATAAGTATAAACTTATTGTATATTAGAATATTCCACATAGATTACAAAATTTTTTTATCTAAACTTAACTTTAATAATTTAATTCATAATAATAACTAATTGTTTTTAATTATAGTTAATTTAATTTTACTAGTTTTATTGCAGATACTGCGATGGGTTACAAGCTTAATTCGCAAAAGAACTTCAAAGTTGACTACGTCGAGGCTGTAGATAAGTAAGTTAATGATTCTTTTAATGTTTTTGTATTCAGGTTTTTTTATATAATTTTATGCAATATACATACAATGAATCTTATTAACAAAAATATTTATTTCTAATGTTTAGGATTGCATCTATTGTGCAAATGCGCTTCACAAATGTATGGTTATCATCTGATTCAATTTTCAAATTAACTAAGTCGGGCAAAGAGCACGACCATTCACTTCAAATCATACAGGAGTTTGTCAACAAGGTAATAATCATTCTAAATTCCTAGACACATGTAGTTAAAGCTTTCTAAACCGGGCTATCTTCAATAGCTGCTCCAGTTTTCTGAGAGATCTCGAGTAACATTATTGTAAAAAATAACACATTAACGCTATCTTATTACTATCTAATTTGTGTACAAAATTAATCACTAAAATTTCAGTTCAGGTCAGTTTTCGTTTCAAATTTAGACTCACATGTTCGTGAATGGAAAAAAGAGAGAGATATCTCTTTTCTTCAGTGCAGTTGCTCTCGTCTTATTATACTCGTATATTATACAAAGAAAATCATTATATTTTAACTTCCTTCTATAGTAAATTCACTCTTGGATTTTTTCACACACATGTTTTAGATTAGAATAGTGAGAAAACTGACTTATAATACTTCTCCACACTCAATATTCCGCTCGCAAATAATACGCGATAATATCTAGAACAATCTAATCTTCAGGTAATTGTAAAAAGAAAAGCCGAATGGAAAAGCGATACCAACTTCAACAATTCAAAGAAGAGACGGGCCCTGCTGGATTTATTATTGCAAATATCACAAAATGGCACTGTCCTTTCGGACGAAGACATTTGTGAGGAAGTAAATACTTTTATGTATGCTGGACACGATACGATGGCCACTACCATATCATGGACACTTTATGCACTAGGACGAAACCCCGAATACCAGGTATTATTCCTTTCTATATTGTATTATCACTGCTATGTTTAATTCTAATAGACGAAATCTAATAAATAGGGCAATATTTTGTTATATATATAATTTTTAACAATCTTAAGGAAATTGTAATTTTACATTTCGTCCGCGCGCATTAGATGTATTTCTTAAATTATAAAATTAATTAAGAAGATACAGAAGATCTAATTGAAAGTATTACTTTTTTCTCTCTCTATATTTTTAACATTAATTTAACTGTAGTGCTTTCTTGTTTCGATTTTAGCAAAAAATTTTAGAGGAATACAATGATATGGTGGTGGACACGGATGAAATTACATTGGAAAATATACACAAATTAACATGGTTGGAAGCTTGCATCAAGGAACAGTGGAGATTATATCCTGTGACTCCACTTATAGCAAGACAAATTTACAAACCAATCGAAATAAGTAAGTAACTTAAACCTAACTTCTCTCATATCATATGTCTGTGGTGCGCACGCTGATTGTACACAGTTCATATAGGACCTACAGTTTAACGTCGATTCCGAACGACGATGTTGGTTAGAGAAGTGTTCTTTTGGCATAGATACTCCCGGCGGTTTGCCATTGCCTCCCGAGAGGGGATACGAGCGTATAATGAAAATATTTTTTTTGATGCCGACGGGAATTGAACCCGGGATCTCCAGCATCGCAGACCAGTGCGCTGTCCGCTTTGCCACGCTCGCTCCCAAAGATCCGTATTCTCTATACGAAATAAAAAGTATTTTGCTGACCTAGTTAAATACAGAACTGAAAATAATGTTGTTAGACTATCAAAATAATTATATCGGATTAGGAAAAAAGGCAGTACCCTCGAATAACTCGTAAAATATAAATTTTATATAAAAATATTTCAGATAAAAGTGGGAGAGTGTAAAAAGATCCAAATATTTTTAATAAAATCGTTTTTTTTAATGTAATAACATATGTTGATGCATGACTGTCGAAGTGTTGGACCGATCGTGTTTGAAAATAAATGTAAATATTCGCCGTTATTATTTGTCGAATAGGTTGCATAAAAAATATCGTTACGAGGAAAACCGTATATACAGGGTGGGGAAAAAGTATGGAAGCAAACAATTATTTCCGAAACTATTCATTTTTCGACAAAATGTCTTAGACATAATTTTTATGGTATGAAAAGATGTATTATGTGGCATAGACGGCATGACCTTGAAATGACCCTTACGAAGAGTGTAAAAAGATCCAAATATTTTTAATAAAATCGTTTTTTTTAATGTAATAACATATGTTGATGCATGACTGTCGAAGTGTTGGACCGATCGTGTTTGAAAATAAATGTAAATATTCGCCGTTATTATTTGTCGAATAGGTTGCATAAACAATATCGTTACGAGGAAAACCGTACATATAACGTAAAGGACAATTTTATTGAAGTATCTAAAAAATTTAGGTAGATACAGACATGAAAATAAGAATATGACTTTGTCATACTCTGCTAAATATTCCTGGATATAGAAAAGGACAATTTTATTGAAGTATCTAAAAAATTTAGATAGATACAGACATGAAAATAAGAATATGACTTTGTCATACTCTGCTAAATATTCCTGGATATAGACTTTTACATAAATATTTGCTTACATATCCATTTACGATACACTCTCTTAAAGTTTCGTGAACTTTAAATGCTCTTCAATATAAAAATCAATTTGGTTCGAAGTTTAAACATAATAAATCGAGCAGTTTATCATGCAATTGAAGAAGTTTCTTGACCAACACGTTTTTTAGGAAAATAATCATTTACAAATACTAACACACAATTTTTATAACAAAATGTTCTGTTTCATATATTTTTGTTTTTGTTTGTTTCCATTAAACTGTGTTTTGTTTAATACTCCAGCATCCCCTTAAATCTAAGTGTTTCTAAACCCAAGTTTATATAAACTTTTTAAAATGTTTGTTTGATATGTATACGTTCCTGTAATATTGAACAATTGTAGCGTTTCCAACTGTAATGAATTTAATTGCTTTGATACCCGTTTTCTAATGTAGTTTAATCTCGGTTCGAAATTTCGGTTCGAAAAATTTTTCGGTTCTGCCTGGAATCAAAACCTGGGATCTCTGGCATAGCAGTCTCGTGCGCTGCCGCTACGCCACGCTCGCACTCACATGTACCTCGCACGCACTCACAAGTACCTCATATATCTTTAATTTCTAAAATATTCCAAATATCAATTACACCATTTTATATTAATCAATATTATATCAAAATTATTATAATTATTGATCATTGCATTGATCATTATTAATAGAGCGTTGTACCAAGCATTTTATCAAGTAGTTGTTAGAATAAACAACTTTAAAATGCGATTAATAGCTATTGCTATTGTTCAATTAACAATTGTGTAATGCACATAAAAAATTCTTATTCACATGAAATGTCTTTTACCTGTTTTTAGTGGGCAGTCAAATTCCACCGGGCTCGACAGTTCTCATCAACTCCTATTTACTACATCGTGACGACCGTTTTTTCCCAGAGCCGCACATTTATCGTCCGGAGCGATTCTTGCCCGATGGCCCCAAGTTACCTCCTTACGCTTTCATACCCTTTAGCGCTGGTTCGCGCAATTGCATCGGCTGGAAATTTGCCACATTAGTGGTTAAAGTGGCCATCTTATCTGTGCTGAAAGCCTTCCGTGTGGAAGCTCTCGATAAAGAGGATGAATTGCGTTTTATATCGGAATTGGTGTTAGTCAACGCAAACGGACTTCGTCTTAAAATCACACCGCGTTAAAATTACACTGCGAACATCCTTCTCTTCTTTTCTCTCCGTGCTATGGAAAAAATCAATGCTGAGAAGAATTCATTAGTGCTTAGTTAAATTTCTCTTTTCTGTAATCACTCAAATGTTTCGAAGCATTTGTAGCGCCAAGTAGATACTGCCGCACACTAAATTGACAAATAAGTTTGAAATATATAAAGTAACTATAAAAGTAATTATTAAATTAGTTACTAGTTACTTAAAAGGTATAACTAAGGCCGGTATTCATAGTCGGTTCATATTTTAAGACCGTCTTAAGTATAATGTCTTAATTCGCTAATGCGGCCCTCTGATTGGTTCGTGACTTCTTAAGACCGTTCTTAAGACGGTCTTGAATATAAGATCTGACTATGAATACCGGCCTAAGTTAAGTTATAGTTACAGATGGAAAAAAGTAACGAAGTTAAGTTGTAGTTACTGAAAAAAGTAACTCTAACTGTAATTTCGTTACAAATAACGAGTTATTTTCCCTGAAAAAAATTCTCTGATGGGCGTAGGAAGTTTCTATATTGGCTCAACAAAGTATATCATCACCAGCTTTCACGAACAGAAGTAGCATTCAATATTACGCTCGTGCAAATCATTCTTTGAATCAATAAAAACGGTCAATGAGCGTCCCAACACATCTACAGTCAGACGATAGTAATAAATCTAAGGAACAAAACAAAATTTGTAATTTTATTTATTTTTTAATTGAAGTCTTGGATAAATATTTTTTTGAAAACGTCCAACACCCGATTGTCATGAATTTTGGCAGAAATATTCCAAATGATATCAAATGAATGCCCTTGAATGGATTTTCACCGACAAGAAAGTTTTCAATAAAGTTACGAAAGTTTGTGCTTATTATTTTCAGTATACTGTTTATTGCAGTTTATATAGGAGTTGAATGGAGAGGATGCGTATATATAGAAGGAAAATATTTATTGTTAAACCCATATGCAACAGTACCCATATGCAGCAGTATTAAAGTCGTGCGCCCCTTTGGTAGGGAGGAGAGTAGGGTGAAAGTCGCTTCCTGTGGAAAGTCAAAGCCCACGTACAACAGTACAATTATAGAGGTCGTGCGCCCCTTAAGCAGGGGCAGAGGGGGATGAGAGTCACTTCGTGTGGAAAGTCGGAACCCACGTGCAATAGTACGATTATGGACGTCGTGTGCCCCTTAAGCAGGAGGGGGGGGGGAGGGGTGAGAGTTATTTCGCATGGGCAGTAAAATATATTTTGAAGCAGAAAATTTTTGTTCTGTATAATAAAAAAAGACATTATTTTTCAAACTTATCCTCTACATATTATTGAACTTTAATTTACTATATCTTCTAATGCTAAACATATATCAAGATCAAGAGCATCGGAGCTGCTTTCATTATTGTCGATATTTACCATAATAAGCACAAACTTCCATAACTTCAAACATTTTTGACATTAAACTTTCTTGTCGGTGAAAATCCAATCAAGGGCATTCATTTGACGTCATTTAGAATATTTCTATCAAAATTCATGATAATCGGGCATTGGACGTTTTCGGAAGTTCACCCGAAGTCTTGTCTGGGGAGACAAGACTTCAATTAACAAATAATTAAAATTACAAATTTTGTTTTATCCTTAGATTTATCACTATCGCCTGACTGTAGATGTGCTGAGACACTTACCGTTTTTATTGATTCAAAGAACGATTTGCACGAGTGTAATATTGACGAAGTTATGGTTAGAGTTACTTTTTTCAATTACTGTAACTTACCTTTGTTACTTTTTTCTATCTGTATCTATAACTTAACTTAGTTATATCTTTTAAGTAACTAGTAACTAATTTAATAATTACTTTTATAGATACTTTATAATATTTTAAATTTATTTGTTAATTTAGTGTGCGGTAGGGTCCACTTGGCGCTACAAATGCCTCGAAACATTTACTTGATTACAATCAGAAGAAAGAAATTTAACTAATGTAAAAAAAATTAATGTTAAAAATTAACTTTTGTTAAAAATTAAGGATAATTTTTATTAATACTTAGGATTATTGCTAGAATTTATTTGCGACTTTCTAGAAAAATTCGCTTTTTCTAAGTATGTAGCGACAATAATTTATTATTTTTATATTTAAATCTATTATAATTGAGTTATGATGAACAAAAATAAATAATAATCGTCTTACAATTCTAATCCTAAACCGTTCTTCGACGTAGAACGATTTAATATTAATACGTTTTGTTTTTTTTATAAAAAAGATTCTTCATTTAATATTTGGATGAAAATCGCAAATAACAATCGTCTTATAATTCTTATCTTAAATCGTTCTACGATCGCAGACAAATAACAAATGTCACAGTCGATACAAGCGCTGACCCGAAACGATCGAAGGCATAATTGTAAACATTAATTTCAAATAGTATTCAGAACTGACGTATAGGCATGGTCTAAAAATTCAGTATCTGTTTGGAGGTTTAAACTCCTTTTTTGTGTTTTTATATGTAACATTTCAGACGTTAATCTTTTGTTGTAATTCCTTTCTGTATCCAAAACTTGCACCTTGTACTAATTGAATTCATGGTCAAATTGCAATCTATGGTCTATAATGACCGAATGAGAAGACGTATTTCTTCTAATGTGATTCGGTGTTCTGAAATGCGTGTATGTAGTTGACGACTAGTTTGTCCTACATAAGAAGCCTAGCAGTCTTTGCAGGCAATCTTATATACGATGTTTCTCTGTGCACTGGTTGGCAAAAAATCTTTCTGCACTTTGATTAGACTGCGAAGTTTATTAATACTATAAAATGCAATTTTGGGTATTGTTAATAATCTTCTTGAATTTATCTGAAATGTTGTTAACAAAGGGGATCGTAAACCAAATGATTTTATTGCAGGGAATGGAAGTAACTCGTTACTTGTAACGAAGTTACAGTTACAAGTTACTTTTTTGGTAACTTTACTAGTAACTGCGTTACTTT